TGTGTGTGTTTGTGTGTGTGTGTGTGTGCATATATATATATTGAAATTTGCCATTAATCATTCATATATATATATATATATGAATGATTAATGGCAAATTTCAATATATATATATGCACACACACACACACACACACAAATATATACATATTTTACTGATATACACATTTTATAGCAAGAATTACATTACAGCAGGTGTAGATGTGTAAAATCTGAACAATGTATGCACTTTAGTCTGTGCCTTGGCTTGACTAATAGTAATTATTTTCCTTCAAGAGAACTCTCCCTCATCTTTTTTTAAAATCTACTTTCTTTCTGATATTTTTTATGCAAAATATTAATGATGCTCACATGGAATCACTACAAAAAGGCTAGTAGTTAACTAGTCTTGTGTATATATATTTATGTATATTTATCACTGACTTTACTTAGAACTAATTCCATTAATTTGAATGCATAGGCACTCACATCCTGTGGGACACTTCAGCTTTTAAATTTGCATAAAATTACCACTGAAGAGGAAAAAGTATCCATTTTCAAAAGGGTGGTAGGATGGAAAACGGTAACAAATTTCTTCTGAAGACCTTACTGCTGGTCATATAAGTTTTATATTATGTTTGCTAGACCTTAGATTTCCTTTCTTAAGAGTTTGTAATAGATCTACAAACCATTTTATATTCAGCTGAAGAAGTAAAAAGACAAAAAGCTGGATTTTTAATCTGTTTCAACATTTGTCATCTTCATCAAAATAAGGATACAGATATTTAATCATGGCCACTTAGTACTCCTTGATGGGCAAAATATTTTTTGTTGATGCACATATGCTAATGGAAGTTACCTAAATGCTTACTGTCATTATGTGCTCAAAAATATTTTGTTAAAACACTTCTAGGACCTCCTGGCCATATTTAAAAATCAGTTGTTTGATTCCCCCCCCGCCGCCATTATTAGCTCCTTGCATATAAGGATTTATCAGAGAAAAGGGTATTCTAGCCTTCCCTTCTTTTTTCATCTGATAATGTTCAATGTGCAAGGATTTTTAAAAGAAGATATTGATATAGAGATGTAGGGGTTGTGAGTTCCCCAAAATCAAGTGGTATGGTTCCAGAAATGCTTACCACATAATATTCCTAAACACATAGTTATTGAAGAAATAACTCAGGAGATCTCTAATTATCTACTCAGATAAAGAGAATGTATATAACTGGCTGCATACAGAAAAATTGCAGAAATGTCTACATTTCATTGGTAAAACTCAATGAAATGCTCACAGAAACAGACAAATACAAAAACTCTCACTGAAGCCGGTAGAGGAGATCTGTTTATCTCACAGCTGAAGGAGGTGAGGAAGACTGTGTCATTTCTTGTTCTGTGTGTGAGAACAAGACCAGCAAGCATCAAGGCAGATTCCTTTTCTAACAAGCACTTAGGCCAGAGTGTAACCTATCCTAGGCCACGAAGCCTTCCAGTCTGGCCATTTTCCAGGGGAACATAATTTAGGCGTGGGTGCAAAAAAGGTGGCATTCCCAGGATGGAGAATTCTTGGACTTTTGAGTCCAAATTGAATAAATAAACAAACAAACAAATGGCACATCCCTATAATTTACACACACACACACACCACTGAGTATAACACACATAAGAAAACTTCATTTGATGTAAGAAAGCATGGAACTAAGTCACAACAGTTACAACTGAGTTCAAACCATATTTACAGAACAAAAGGGGAAATTAATGGGAAGGGAAACTTCCTTGATCATCTAATTATGACCCCTGAGACATTTATTTATAAAGAAATCGAGGGTGGTGACCCCCCCTTTTTTTGACAAGGTCCAGAGTCCTTAATGGATAATCTACTAGGAACCACTGAGAGCAGCTGGCACAGCAAGAGCTGTTGCAAGGCTGAGGGTCTTTCTGCCACTCCCCCCTTTTCTTTCTCCCTCCCTAGACCAACCTGGGGATTCCAAGGATCACTTTTGCCAGAGGTCTGTATGGTCACTTTTGAAATTAATTTGTGAGCTACATGTAGCCAGAAAGCCATATATTACCCAACTCTGAAACAAATAAGCAACAAAACCACTCAAAATTATGAATAAAAAGGGTAACTTAACCTGTGCCTAATAAGCTTGACTTAAACTGTGAATTTAGCAGGCTTGTAAAAGCAAAGCATGTTTAGCACCAGATGTCAACTAATAACTTCAGTGTACATGCTCGCCATTATTGCACCGTGCATCAGTTTAAACATGTATTTTTAAAGCAAAAAATGTCCTAAACATCTTTGATTGTCTCTTAATTGTTGCTTTGTGGTTCACAGAAAGTGAGGGCGAGCCACAGAAATAGATGTAAATGAAAGAGCCATAGAAAAAGATATAAATGCTGTGGAATTGTAAAACAAAAGACTGTTTCATTAAGGTAATGATGGGCACATTTTAACTCACATTAGGTTGTTTTGTAGGGCTACGGAGGATACATTGCATCAATGATTCTGAAGTCCAATGAAAGGCTTTTCAAGTGTGGAGCTGTGATTGCACCAATTACAGACATGCGATTGTATGGTGAGTAATAGACCACAGTATTCAGTACACACACTATAAAATCAACTTATTTTTTTGTCTGTGGAGGAGATGAGACATTACAGATATATGAATATATGTGTGGCAAATACTGCACCCCGGGAAAGGCTTGGTCCATTTTGCAGTCCTCTGCTGTTTCGTATGTAGTCGGATTAACACACTCCACCCAGAAACAACTGAAGTGAAATAAAGTTTTCCTGTTTCCCATGTACAGCGTCAGCTTTTTCTGAAAGATACCTGGGCCTTCCATTTAAGGAAGAACATGCATATCAGGTGAGAAAGTGGTCCTGTGGGGTTTGGGTCCCAGAAGACTTTGAAATGTAAAGCATTTACACATGTGTGTATTTCTTTCTTAAAGGCCTCCAGTGTGTTACATAATATCAATGGCTTTAAGGAAGAACATTTGTTAATCATCCATGGGACAGCTGATAGTAAGTATTTACATAATGTGGCTCCTTTAGCACTGGAGATTGTCCCACAAAGAAGCTCAGTGAAAGGAAGGCATGGTGACGGCATGTGTACTGTTTGATAGTACAGAGCTTTATCTGCCCCGAGAGAGCCTCTTGTCAGATTCAACTGACAGTTTTAGATATGAATAGACATATCGTTTTAGACATTTCTCTTAACTGAATATTTGTAACTCTTAGCAGCTGTAGGTACCAATTTGTTTAAATCGTATAAAACATCATGTCATTGGCACAAGGCAACATGTATTAATAACTGACAGCATCAATATTTAATCAGCTTTTAAATTATTCCCAATTCTGCCATTGGCAAAATATGAATGTCAGGGGGAATATTGCATGCAATATCTTAAAGCAAATTGACCCTTTCAGTGCATCGATGGCTGCTTGTTAAAGACTTATGAAGTGTCCAGCAGGTTTGGCTTATTTTTCAGGCAGACAGTGTGGCCTGTCCTTCATTCTTGATGTAATTTGCCCCCATATATACTTCTCATTGCTTCCACCACCCAACCATGTCAGAGCCACATGATTCCTTCTCCTCTCCCTTCTCCCTCTCTTCTGTATAGCAACTTCAACCATACTGCCCACTCCCTCATCTTAGGGCTTGGCGTGTTTAACACTTGAAGATGGATCCTTTTTAGAATGGAGTGAACAAGGGTGGAATCCCAAGGGGTTTTCAGTATTGATGTTTCAGATATGTGTTTCTATCATATGAGAGAGGGGAAGGATGATCCCATTTTTATTGTTTTTAAACCCACCCCCATAGGTTGTATCATCAGGCCTGAAATACTTACCCTTAGTCTTCCTTAGTCTAAGGAATCATATTTCATTTAACTATATTTTCTTAAATCTGTTTCTTTTCCTATCTACCCTGCTCCCCAAACCATGTTTCTACCCTTGGGTAGAGAGGTCACGTCAAAAGTGTTTTTAAGTCTTTTTCTGCAACAAGGGATAACATTTGTTGAGCCAGAAACGCAAAGGAGATGGAGAAAATGAATGCTTGAATTGGACTTGGGGGCCATGTGTATATAAAGTGTGTGCTATGGCCCTTCCTTTCCAATCTTGCCCCAGAGAAAATATCTCAAATTCATTCATTAATACAAACAGATGTTTCTTTGAAAGTAAAAAAAAAAGATAATTCAGATTGAATGCTTATGGGGAAACCAATTTTTTTTAACCTCTCAAGGACTGGTCCTAGCTTTTAGGGAGTGGTGTTAGATATAGAATATTTCAGCACACTCTTTCTCCTGTCTCAATCATCTGAATCCCAAGTTGCTAGTATGTAAGTCAGTCTTACTGTAGCAAAATAACTAGTTCAAAACATTATTAAAATTTTAAACGTTCTATTTTTTTTATTTAAAAGATCTTGGCATCAGCATTCTCTACGAATGGAGAGGTGCTACTCTTCAGATGGGGAACCAGAGCAAGGTGCCAGAAACACAAGGGAGTGGAGGAGCTTCTTTCTCTCCCTTTTCCCAAAGCCCTAGCATCACTTTCCTTGGTATTCCTGAATGTCCTCTGCCTTGTGGCATGGGCAGTTCACAGTACTGGGGCTTGATTTAAAAAATGCCACCAAACCTTCTTTAACACCAGTCAAAATTTGCTAAATCCCAACCTGTTTTTGACTAATTGTATACACTTCCCATATTTATGCCTTCTGTCATGACCTGAACTAAAACTAGACTAACATTTTGAGGGAAACAGGTTTTCTTTAAAATTGTCTGAAGAAATACTATGAAATTATTGTGTGCTAATTTCTTGGATGGCTTCAGACTGGGTCCCCAACTTACACTACAAAGCCTATTTTTGCACTGCTGAAGGGAACAATTGTGTAGCTAGCCACTGTTTTCATTTTACCAGCAAAACTACAGTGTAATGAGGAGGAATGGAATGCTCCCTTGGAAAAATCAACTGAATTGACAAGTTTCAGCTTCAGTTGACTGGTTTACTCTTTGAGGGTCGGCCTTGTAGCTTAAGCACATTTATCCCTTTACTAACTTCTTAATCAAAACACAGAGCTCAGTGGTGAATGTATCTTAGTATTTGGCTGAGCGAGACCATTTCCAGGAGACAGATCCAAATAAATCCTTTAATTCTAATCGTGTCCAGTGCAGGAGATATTACTCAGCTGAATAGACAAGAACATTACTGCAATTTCACAAAATGGTTTTTCTAAAATATTTTGAGAAGTTATTGTTGGAAAATCAATACCATATGTAGACAGAGTGCCTAACAGTACAGACATCAGAGTTAAAAAGTAATTCATTCCACAATAAATATTGGAGTAAAGTACCTCTGTTTATTACATCCCCCTGTTGACGATTTTGGTATTTATCAGGAAATTTCCATTTCTAACCATAGGGCATACACATTTATTGTGCTATGGCACAATAATTCTGTTGTGCTGTCTGCAATTCAGATCTTTTAGAGCTACAGTACAAACTGCAAACTGTAGCAGTGAAGTAGAATGCATGTTGGTAGGTGTTGAATCAAAGTTGATCATCTCATGGAAATGCTCCGCATGTGAAAAACACTCTCCTATTCAGACTTTACTGTCTTTATTGGAAGAGCTAAGATGAAGAATACCAGGGCTAGTCTATTTTTGTCTATTCCAATCATCATCATCATCATCATCATCATCATCATCATCATCATCATCATCATCATCATCATGGTTTATGTATCTTTTTTCATGTGTTCAGAATATTTCACAGACATTACCTCATTACAACAGTACTGTTAAATATTATCCTCCCTGTGTAAAAAAAGAGACATGAGTTATACTTATATAAACACTAACCAGCAAGTAAGTCCCATTTGAGTGTAATGGGATTTGTTTCTTACTGTACATGCAAAAACATGTAAATCATCTAAGGCCACCTTCTTGGATAAAGGAGATTCGAACCAGACCACTCTCATGCTCTCATAGCCACTATGCTATAGCTATTCTCATGTAAAGAAAGAAAATGTTCCTGAAACTGCTAGGAAAGGATAGTATCTCATTCATAGTTTAGTTGCTTAACAAGTAAGAAGAGCACAGTCACTGAAGTCATGACAGTGTTGTGGCTCATCTGATCCACATTAAGAATGCCTTTCACTAACATTCAGATGTTGTTGTCCCATAGCTAAAGTCCATTTCCAGCATTCAGCAGAATTAATTAAACATCTAATAAAAGCCGGAGTGAATTATACTATGCAGGTATGTATTACTTGGGAGTCTCTAGCTCTGTGTATCTTCAACAATTTCAGCACAATTTAAAGTGATTTTAGGTGTTTATTGAATTCCTTGTTTCCTTACAGCTATTTGTAGCATACAGACCAGAATTCTAATGATGTTCATATAATTTGTGTAAACTGACACACTTAATTGCAGTTAATTAATAAGGTGCTGGGTGGCATCATGGTTGTGTGCCTGGTCTACACAACCAAGACATATCCCAGCACCTTGCTAATTATTCATAATTAGCTGTCACAAATTTCAAAAACTTTATGCAAATGCCAGTAGAAATCTGACCTTAATATTACAATATATATGTGTATGTCATTTGAATAGCCTCAATATTTTATTTGTGCAAAACTCAATCTGTAACAGAGATGGTGCAAATACAACCAATACATTAAAATGTAATAAAAGAAGAATACTACTTGAAATGATTAAGCCTCCTCTCTTAAACCCGGTGACCAAATCCCATAATGACTCCTCTGCTGGTGGAACTTCTTCAGTTAGAACCATGAGAGGGAAAACTCCCCACCCACCCCCTTCATTCCCTGTGCCCCCCAAAAGCATGCTGCTGAAGGATGGGAAATATTTTGGAGACAATTTTCAGGCAATGCCAAGGGAGGAAAAGAGCAGGAGGAAATTTTGACTACAGTCCCAGCATGAAATTCGATGGTCTCAATATTTAAAATTGTGGCCAGAATCCTGTTACTTTTATGTACTGGTATAAACCAATGTAAATCACGGGGTGACATGCTACTAGTGAAGGAGTTGATGCTTGTATTTCACATTTTGCACCAGTCATGTGAATTGACATGTAATGAAGCATAGACTCCTTAACTAGCAGCGGATTGCTGCTTTACACTGTTTTACTTACATAGGTGTATGTAAGTGATAGGTCTCGGGCCAGCGATGTATTACTAGTATTATTGCTATGGTGCAAGTGATTCTGTCTGTTCTGCAGGCTGCCCATCATGTCCCCTCCCTCCTTCAGTTCAGCAAATGATCACATACTCAATCACATGCCTGTTTGTATCACAGATAGTGAGCCAAAGGGGGAGAGTTCTTGGGCAGTTACCCTTATAACTTGATTCTTCTCAAAAGGGTTTTGACCTGTTGTTTATCTGGATGCAGCTAGTTAGTCTATATTTCAGTATTAGTAGAAGTACTACTGATTATCACTTCTTCCTATAAGAAGCTTAGAGGCTGAAATTAGTTTCTGGTGTTGTTAATAGAATGGGTGATGGTGAATAAACTGAAGCTTAACCTAGACAAGAAAGAGGTGTTTCTGATCAGTTGTAAGGCAGAACAGGGAACAAGGATTCAGCCTGTGCTGGATGAGGGTTACACTTCCCCTGAAAACACAGCTTCACAGCTTTGGTGAGCTCCTAGATTTATCTCTGATCCCAGGTCTCAGCAGTAGCCAGGAGGACTGCATTTGCCCAGCTAAAACATGTCCACCAGCTATGCCCATTCCTTGAAATGTCTGAAATGCCCACAGTGACCTGTGCCTTTGTTCTGTCCAAAATAATGCAACAAGATTATTAACTGGACATATAGTTCCCCTGGCTGCTAGCCTGTTTCTGGGCACAATTCAAAGTGCAGGTTTTTACCTATACAGTGGTGCCTCGCTACAGTATACGATGATAATCCGTTCCACTGAAATTGCTATTTAGCAAAATCATTGTCTTAGCGAAAAGCATTTCCCCATTGGAATGCATTTAAACCTATTTAATGTGTTCCAATGGGAAAGAATCGTCATTGTCTAGTGAAGATCGGCCATAGGAAAGCCGCTTTGCGAACCGCCAATCAGCTGTTTAAATAGCTGTCTTGCGAAGTGTAGGTCCTGAAAACATCCGTTTTGCGAGTGCGGAGGGAGCTGTCAAAATCGTCGTCTAGCGAAAATTGGTTTGTGAAGCAGGGACCAAACATTGTCCAGTGAAATTCCCCCATAGGAATCACTGTTTTGCGAATCGCTATAGCAATCGCAAAAAGTCAATGTCTAACGAAAAAATTGTCATGCGGGGTAACTGTCTAGCGAGGCACCACTGTAATGCCTTTAACGACTGGAAAAAACACATATCTCCATACAAGCCTGTCCAGCTTTTTAAGATCTTCAGAGCATTGATGTATTGGGGGAGGGAGGCTACACAGCAGATGCAAAATTCTTAGGGGCACACAGCATGCTCCTGCAGCCGCTCCTTGCACTCCTCTCCCGTCCCCCATCCCCGGCACTCCAGCTCTGAGCCATCAGGGACCTTGAGCATCTCCATGGCCTCTTTTATGACACCAACCTGGGGACTTCTATCAACCTCTATGCCCTGCCCACCCACGTGTTGTGTCACAGAACCAACCTGTGATCTGCAACCCAGAATACTTGCCTTGCCCACGGTTTTGGCATCCCATGCTACGCCACTGCTTCAGGGAGTTATTTCTCTTGGCTCTGCCACCCTCACTGGCATGATTGGTGAGGACGTGAGAGAGTGTGCTCTCTGTTGCTGCTCCCAAACTGTAGAGCTTCCCTCAAAGACAGGCCAGGCTGGTCCCTTTTTTGCTGTCCTTCCATTGGCAAACAAAGACCTTTCTTTTTCAAGCAGGCTTTTCTCCTGTGATTCGCTGCCTATATTTTTAAAATGGGGCATTTTATGTACTAGTCTTAATTAAATTTGATTTAATTGCTTTTTTTATATTATAATAATTCATTGTATTTTTAGCATTTAATATTGTCCTTTCTGATACGGTAAGTCACCTTGGGTCTTCTTGTGTAAAAAGGCAGGGTAATAGTAAGAAAAATGAATGAATGAAATGGAGACTGCCAAGGGGCAGAATTACACCAGACCTCCATGCTTTGGAGACTGAAGATACTGTTAGCATGTGAGAATTATCGTTTGAAGAAAAAAATGGGCCTTTCATTTTTGATTTTAGGAATATTATTAGGAGTATTGTTAAAATGGCATCTTGCCTGTACTTTGCAGAACAGCACTTAGTACTCATTTCTGTGTGCAAATGCTAGACATATCAATACTTCAGCCTACAGTCCACCCAGGATATGAAAGTGTCATTAAGCATTTCCTTTTGGAACATACCATTTGATTCGTTTGTAAATGCCTGTTATATCCACATGTTTATTCCAGTGTACCTTGGGCTATTTTAAAGATTGGTTGTTTCCATCAATATCTGAGGCAAACCAAGTATCTATTTCCTCTCAACTATCTTGAAAATCTGTATGAGAAAGGCCATTTTAAATAAAACATGAACATACATTTAGTGCTTAAGCATTTAGTGAAAGCCATGAAATGCTAGTTTAAAATATCAGGAAAATGAATTTCAGTTTGCATTTTTATGAGCTTTGGATGAAGCTGTAACACCTCCTAATGCATCCATTTGGTATTGATGCAGAACCATTTGAAACAAATCAAAGATACCCATATCATTTGATTTTTAAAGTTTATTTCTTTTCATTTTCCCTCTCCCAGATCTACCCAGATGAAGGCCATTACGTCACATCAGAGAAGAGTAAATATCACCTTTATAGCACAATTCTCAGCTTCTTTAGTGCTTGTTTAAAGGAGGAAGCACCGATTTTATCACAGGAACCAGAAGAGGATGAATAAAGAAGCCTGTTTGTACAGAACTGAGGGCACTTTCAGAGAGGCTCACTAAAACCATAAATAGAAGTGACTGGAGGGGAGCAGAGTCTATGGAAGCCCAAGGGCAGCTAAAGGATATACCAGTGGAACAGAACATTTTGTGACATTGTGCTACTGAACTGGTATTTGAATACAAAAGTCCAAATGTATTACCAAGGGACAAAACCTACACCTTTGTGGAAGGCCAAAGGTTCGATGCAGTTTCCTGGAGGAAATTAATTTTGCATAAGAGTAGGGTTAGTGCATGTTGATTCCGTTAAGATTCACTGTTTGTTCTGTATGTAGTTGTTCTGTTTTTATTTAAAATGCACATAATTTCTCAATCTCAACATAAGACACACCTCTCATATGTATTAAGCCCACTAATACCAGAACAGGAAAGCTGCAGTCTAACAGTCTATTGTAATTTTACAATAAGTGAAATTTGTATTCACTGTCAAGTTTTGAATTACAGTACTGAGGACATGACATTTTGTTTCAGTTCACATGGGGGAAAAAACAGATAAATCAGAAACCATTTCTATATTTTGGTTTGACTTTTCTTAAATAATCAAAAACAGACATTCACTCTTATTACTGTACCAACTATAAATCTGTAAACAAAATTTTGGTAGTATACTCTTGGACTTTATGTATATACACAGGATTCCTTTCACAAAAATGTTTGTGTGCTTGAACAGTTTCTTCAAGCCATAATTATAGCTATGTTTAAGCAACAACTAAAATAATCCCCCAGTTACAAGTTGTATCTTTTGTTTTACTAAGAAATGTTTGGATTGTGTTTCTTTCGTATTGTTTACAGTAGTCAATAGTTTGCTGGTTACACTCTAATTTTAGAATATGCTACTTTGTCACATGTAAATTAGATACATGAATATTAAATTATAGTTTCAGATAAAGAAATTTTATTAACAATGTAATGCCATTGAGTAATACTTTGATGAAATTTTGTGAAGCTGGTTCTTGATTTTTTGTTCATTACAGATGGGCTTTGATCATCCTATGAACTTCAGTGGTTAACACATCACAGATGTTTCTGTCAGCTTCTATTTGGTATATTATAGGTTCCCATTGTGTTTCAAGAAATATTTAAATTCAGCCAAATGATCCTGCCCTCCAGTTTTGTTCTTGATCAGTGCAAATGTGGACAAGATCAAATTATTGGGAAATAGGAAGGAGCTGGAAAATAAATGCACTCCTGTCAAAAATTGTGTTTGAGTGCTATAGCTCTACAAAAGGTAGCCTGAAGTAGAGTCTATTTATGAGAATTCCTTGGTTCATGGATGGACTTGGCAGATCATTTTGCACACTCCACAGCATTGAAAGGATTCTTCCTTCCCTTGAACTCCTGGCAGAGCATCGAAATTATAGTGGCTAAAAAGCCCTCTAGATATGGAGAATGAAAAAAATTCAGGGACCTACAAACCAGAATTAGCTTCAAGTCTTCCTACAGTAGATCACCTCTTATTGTTTGTTCTTCTCAGCTGGCAAATACTGTCTCAATAACTCATTCAATAACTGGTAAGAGAAATAAGTCTATTTATGCACAGTTCTGAATAGATCAAAACAAACAGCATTCTGTAGAAAAGTAATGACTAGTTACATGAACAGAGCTAAAATGACTAACTGGCTTAATGACTAACTCACTACATGGCTGACTGAATACTGACCACATAACGCTAATGGACTACATACTGTCTGACTAAAAAGAAGCAGGAAAAGGAAACTTGAACAGAGAGATGTGGCTCTCTTCAAAATCTGAGGGAAGAATTGGTTGCTGTTGGACTGATTGGTGGTCACTCCAGTCCAGAAAGGTCACCCTGAGCCAAACCCTCTTAAAGGCAGCATGCAGAAGTTGCAATTATTCCAACATGAACTACATTCTCATGTTTGAAAATGCACCTGGAAATGTCAAGATGGCTTTTGATAAGGGCATCATACATCCAAACAGATTTCTCCAAAACTTCCATGTTGTTTGGTCAAGTTAGTTTCTACAGTGGCCAACCAGTTGCCCAAGGGAGGCCAACAAGCAGGCCATAAGTGGAACTTCAGACAGACTGTCCCAATAGTGTATTCCTCAGAAAGTGTAGGGCAAAGGAGCATAGAATTTACTATGGAATGAGAGTATCTATTAGTTACTGCACTTAGCCTCATCCAAGCCCATTTTAATCTTCCTTACGTTACTAGCCATTACAGCACTTTGTGTAGTGAATGCTACTACTTATTTATGTGTTGTGTGAAGAAGCATTATTTTTTTATATTCCTGGAATCTCACACCAGTTGGCTTCCATAGTAATATGAGAGAGGAAAAAAAGCTTCCTTCTACAGTATCCACTTTTTCTCCATGCCAAGCATAACTGTATGCATCTCATTTATTTTATACCCCTCCCCATATGTTTAATAAACCGGATAGTCCTAGATATTTTAAGTTTTCCTACAGAACTTAAAATGCTTACTCTAACAAATTGACTGGAGCTATTTGATTGGGGGGGGGTTATGTATGACTGTAAGGAGGATGCCCTGGTCATCCCCAGTGGGCTGTTTGCCCCCTCCCTGCACTCCCTGGCAGACCTGATGTAGGCCCCAGAGCTTGGGACCAGAAGGGCAGAGAGAGAGAGTTGGAGGTTCAAGGTGTGTGGAAAAAGATTGGAGCAGATGAGCCATACCTGGTCAAGGGAGTGAGCATCAGGGCCAGTTCATAGAAGACCTGTTTAAAGGTGGGGAGACTCATCACTCTCAGCAGAGAAAGTGGAGATGGTGATGGAGGAACTGGACCCAGGGTATGAGTCCAGGTTGTGGCTCCTAAAGGACAACAGCACTAGAGAGGTGCACCAGTCTTCGTCCTGCCACCATTTCCAACTTCCTGGAGGCTGGCCAGTTACGAAAGCCCCACTTTGACCCAATGAAGGCAATGGAGGAGGAAGTGCCAAAAGGAGCACCTGTGGGGCAGCAAGAAGGAGGGTACAGGAGCCTAAAACTGCCTAACAATACAAGCCCTCTATAAAGGGAATTAGCTGGTCAGCTAACTGTTGTGACTGGGTTCAGTGTTGAGAACTAGACCCAAGCCATGGACTATGGATGACTCTTGCCCAATTAATGGGACTCAACCATGGGCAAAATCTGAACTGAGCAGGGGGCTATTGGAGCCCACTCAGCCTCCCTGTAGACTGCTAGGACAGGGTGCATCAGATGCTCAACCTGTCTTTATACCCTATTCCCCTATGTTAATAAAATCCAATTCAAGCAGCACTGACAAGTCTTGATTTCATGTAATGACTGGCCATGGAGGCCCTCCTGCTGCCTCTATCTTGGAAGGGGTGACAGCAGACACAATGACTTATTATTTTTATTATTCATTGTAAACTGAAAGGAAGGAAGGTGTGGAGAAGAGAAGAGATCTCATCCAAGCAGAAAAGAGAAGAGAAAAGAGAAGAGAAAAAATAATACAATCATGAGCTAGGCATATACATTAAAGGAAGCACACCATATTTTCTAAAAAAAAATCATCTGGAGTTCTGTTGATAGATGTTTATGTGTAGTTAAGGTATTAATATCTTCTTTCTGACCGTGAAGAATAATAATTTTTGCAATTGTAATGGTTTGCAAGATCCAATTGCACTGACCTTCAGTGAATCTCTAAACTTAAGAGGAATAGTGGAAAATGCAGAATTGATTCACTGTAGTAAATCTAGCCAAAGGAAGTGCCACCTCTGGACATGCCCATATCATCTGCCTCAAAGAAACATTATCTGTGTTTTAATAGCTGATGTGAACATTTTCTTTCTAAATAAACAAAATGATTTCCTTGATGGCACCTAAAGACTGCAGTAGCCTCAGTCAGTGACTAAGACTGCGACTACACAGCAAGGGAAATGTGAATTAACTTGCATTCTTTCACTGTGAAATTGCACTGGGCCATTCATTTCTCTCTGATGTAATTTGCTGTACAGGCAGAAGAGGAAAAAATGCCTTCTATTTGCAGTTCTGTTTGAACTATAGATGGCACAGATCAAAGGAACTTCCTTAAGAAGGTTTTCCTTCCTCCCAATCCATTTCTGTAGCTTATCTTGCCTACAAGAGAGTTCCTGAAGCAGTTAAAAAAATGAATGAATAAATAAACAGCAGGATTTTTTTTAAAAAAAATGGTAACTTAGTGGGTTTTTTAATGGATGCTGAGTAGAGATGGGGATGACTCCCCATTTTGGTCATCCCACTTCATGAGTCATCAAAAGCTGCCCCCATGAAGCTATGAATAACAAAGTTATTTGTCGATTCTTGGGGTTATTTAAATAAACGCCCCACCACCAGCCCCTGCTGCCACTGCCCCCCACTGCCACCCCTCCACTGTGCCCTCCTCCACCCCCACTGCACCCCCTCCACCCCGACGGATACCCCCTTACCGTAATCGCCACTGCCAAGGTCTCCATCTGGCCTCCGCAGCCATGGCGTGTAAAAAAGGAGACTGGCTGGCTTTTCCAAAGATGGAAGCTGCGGCTTCATTTAGGGTAGGAAAGCTGCAGGTGCCATCTTTGAAAAGGGCAGCCAGTCTCCCTTTTTACATGCTGTGGCTGGAAGGCCAGATGGAGACTTCAGGNNAGGCTGTGGGGGTGGGTGGCTGCCTATTGGCTCAGGTGATCAGCACCCGGTAGGCAGAATAGTTTTTTTAAAAAAAATATACAAAGATGAATAAAAACAGGAAAATATTCATCAATCCATATTCGCTGGAACTTAAAATTTAACGAATACGGATAGAGAAATATTTAACAAATTGGCTATTTTCATCAAAAAAAAGCCAATCCGTTTTTATTTCATCCCCATCTCTAATGCCAAGGATTGTGCTGGACTAGCAAATGGAGTCACACTTCTAGGGTCAAAAAGCTGTGGAAGACTCTAATAATATGATTCTGATAACAAGCCCTCATAGGATTCTGTCTTACTCAATTAGTGTTTGCAACTGTTGGAGTTTATCGTGACTATATGACATTTTGTAACCATCAATTTTTCCAGTAAATGTTCACCATGCTCAGCTGAAACAGCAAGGGGAAGTGAAAGAAAACAGGTGGAGAAGACAACTCAGAAAATCCGAGAGGTTTTTAATATATGTGTATGTTCGTCTTGTTACAGAAAGAGAAGTTTTCAAAGAACCAGTAGGGTTTAAAAATGGCTCTAGGTCTGCACTGGCTTTTGTGAGTATAAAATTGTAACAGATTTGCCCACTCAATGAGTTTGGAAATAATTTTTTGTTTGGGAATTTGATACTTTAGCTAGAGGCAGGTACTGAGAGGGAAACATTTCAAAAAGCATCAATTACAAGGCATTTATTGGTACATTTATCTTAAATTAGCCTTAATTTAAAAACGCAAAAATGTGTGTTTATCAATGAAGATTAAGAATGCTATTTTTAATTAGCAACCATTACAATTCAAAGCCTTCTAAAAGAGATATTGTTATAGCTGCAGTTTTTGAAATCACCTCTTTATAATTCATCCAAAGTAGCTAAAACACTTTTAAAGAAAAGCGAGTGTTTAAAGAAAAATTGGAATGCTATAAGTATAAGCCACCAGCCAGTGCATGTGGCTCTCTTCCTATCTACCTCCTTGCCTTCTTAACATCTACAATACAGCACAAACCTGCATTTCAACCATAGCGCACTCCTTCAAAATACCTTGCAATTATTTGAGAAAAGAAATCAGGTTATCTCTTGCTGGGTTACAATTGTAATGAAATATAGTCGTACCTTCACTATTAAAAAACCAAATTACTAGTGACTGGTTGTAGCAAGTTATTTTCAAACTCTGGAATCAGTGCACACATGAGCACTGACTGATAAAATATATTTATAATGCCATTGTGTCTGACAACCTAATCCAAATCGCAGTTTAGCTTAATTCCCACTAGAAGCTCCGAATACA